CACATGGGGGCTAGGGGGGGTGGGACTAGAGCTGTGTCAGTGGCTGATCGAGCATGGAGCTCAGTATGTCGTCCTCACCAGCCGATCCGGCGTGAAGACAGGTGCGTGCATAAAAGTACTCACACTAGCAGCTGGCCAAGACTGCGGATATATGTAGAGTATAGCACCTAACAATACAACTAACATAATACAGTAAATATAATAGAACATATGTAGCAAATAACACTAACATATATAACCGTGTGCAGCTGGCGAAGTCTGCATGTGGACGTAACACAAAGTGTTTGACGTATGATCGTCGCCCTATAGTCTGGTGTAACTCTTAGGCTTAGTTAAGTGAACAGAAAAACATTTTTGCAAAGTACCTATACTACTTTCATGTTTTATCAGTTATCCCAGTGCCCCGTACGTAAGCTAGCTGGCTGAATAGATTCCCAAACAACCAATGAAACAACAATACGTACGCAACTAATGAAAGGTCGAAGTCTCGCTCGAGCGTCTGCTTCACCTCGACACCCATCAGCGAGTCGAGACCAAGCTCTCCCAGCGTCAGCTCAGCATTCAGCGTCGCGACGTCCTTCACTCCTGCCGCCACGAAATTACGCACTTTATTATGACTCATTATAACATATTTTAATGTCAATGTTTACCGTGTTTGTGAACAAAACTAAAGTGTAAAGTTTACTCGATTCAAATGAAAGGGATACTGTGTAATGACGTTTCTTCAACACCACTGTAGTATAGAGAGTAAATAAGTTGTTGTGTCATTTATATCAACCAAGAAGTTGTGTAATAAGTTTGTTGTGTACATTTTAATAGTTTTTAAACAATAATTACGTAATATAACAAAAAATGCTACGTGTAACGAGAAATATTAATTTAGTGATACCGAGCCGATAGCGTACCGAGGACGTTGGCGACAGCGTGGATAAGGTCGACCTGTGAGTCCTGCGTGGACGCGCCACCGCTGCCACGCTTCTCTGCAAGCACAAAGCTGGAGACGACGGCGAACGGCTGGTTGAGCAGCACATCCATCGTCTGCATGCAGGAAGCAATGCGCTGCGGCAGCGTGCCACCTATGACGGTGTCGTTGCCTCCCAAGCTGCGCGCCATCCCCACGTCACCGATCGCTCCCCATTGGATCGCGAGCGCTGCAGACAGAAAAATGTGTCATCACTCCATGCTGCCAGTGTAAACGACGACAACAACAACATGCATGACGACGACGACGTGGGTAAAGACAACCACATCAAAACGACAACAACAACGATGACAACAATGACAAGCATTACGACGACGACATGGGTAAAGACGACCACATCAAAACGACAACAATGACGATGACAACGACAAGCATGACGATGATGACAACGACAACAAAAACGACAGCTGTAACAACACCAGCAACAACAACAACAACAACAACAAACAACAACAACGACGACAAGGATGACAACAATAATGACAGAACATCGACGACAAAAACAACAACAATGATGTCGACAACACAAGTGAACATTGTTCCATTTGAATACACTATCTATATGCCATATATACAGCAACACGTACAGCATGGGCCGGATATATAGATCTGGAATACAGTATTCTATCCATGCACCTTTCTAAATAGGTACATTAATTCCTGATGTATGGCAAGCAGTAAGTAACGTCCCCAAAACGTTAGTGCCTGTATAGAGAGACTCTCACCAGGGAAGCCGTCCCGCTGACGTCTCTCACAGATTCTCTCCATCGTTGAGTTTGCGTAACCATAGTTCGTCTGTCCAGCGTTGCCACGGCCGCAGCTCACAGACGAGAACACTACGAACCAGTCCAGCGAGGTGGCGCACGTGTCGCGGGTCACGAGGTCAAGGTTAACTGCGGCCGCCATCTTGGATTTGTTTACCTCGCTGAAGGTCTCTGCTGTTTGGTTCTCGAACAGTCCATCCCTCAACACCTAAAGCAGACGCGTGTAGTCGAATATGAGTCCACTGTTCCAACATTCAGTGTCAACACATTGCAATCGTTTGGAAGTACATAAGAAGTGAGATCTGATGAACGAATATTATTAGTTTGGGGATACGTGCGTTCCTAAATCAGCTGAATACCTCAGCCAGCCCTTTTGATTAAACTTTAATATTATAATTACTGACTTTTCCGACACTGACCATGTACTATGTAAGAATTAACAAACATTACGAAACTCCTTAATCTTGATCAAGCACTGATCTATATAACCCGTATATATTTTAGAACACCTTCCTCTCAAACGAACAAACGCGTGTATTCTCACCGCTGCCAAATGAAAGATGCCGCCCAGTGGCGCCACCTGCTGGGTCGTGTCAATCAGTTGTCTCGCCTGTGCCTCTATGCTGGCGTCCATCTTGCTGACCTCTACCTTCACACCCAGATTGCACCACTCCGCCAATCTGTACTGCTGGTAACCTGTGGTGAGAACAGTATGGTGGCTCAGGAGGGCCACACCGCATTTTCAAAATCAAAATGAAATTTTCATTTTTTTTCCAGAATTTTATTTCAAAATCGAAACGCAATTTCAAAATCAAATGCAATTTCAAAATCAAAACGCAATTTCAAAATCAAAATGCAATTCCAAAACCAAATTTAATTTCAACAGCTCTCGTAGCAGTAGTAGATATGGTGTCATATGTCTTACGCAATATATGCTTGTTGTACCGTAATCTGTTTTGGTTGCTCGAATGCCCCGTACCTCCAGATGGTGTAACCATGTGCTGCCCCCTACCTCAGGATGGTGTAACCATGTGCTGCCCCCTACCTCAGGATGGTGTAACCATGTGCTGCCACCTACCTCGTTTAGTCTTACGAGACACTGCGTTGGAATCAGCTTATCGAGGTCCCAGCGGTATCGTATCAGCGCCTCGACCTCCGCGCGCTCCTCAGTGCGTCTCGACTCCTCTGCCTGTCTCGCCTCGTCCTTGTCGGCCTCGCCGCGAGAGATGCGCTCGAGGGAGCGCATCGTCAGCAGGCGGATGTTCTCCATCGATAGTGGGCACATGGTTACACCATCCTGAGGTAGGGGCAACACATGGTTACACCATCCTGAGGTAGGGGGCAGCACATCGTTACTTCATCTTGAGGTGGGGGCAGCACATGGTTACACCATCCTGAGGTAGAGGGCAGCACATGATTACACCAACCTGAGGTAGGGGGCAGCACATGGTTACAT